TTTTTTTTTTTTTTTTTTTTTATTCACATTTATTTTCCGAGGATGAGGCAAAAAGTACCTACCATTGAGAAGCTGTAGCCATTGAGAAGCTGTACCATTGAGAAGCTGTAGCCAGCAGAAGAACCAAACAGCGCCAAGTCGGCCCCTCATCTCGCCACACCTGGATCCGGCTGGGCCGATCAGTCAGTAAGCTCCGTCAGCAGGACTGAGGCGATGTTACAACAGAACGTCCGACGATTCTAACCACACCCTGAATATATCCTGTCAAGCTAAGGACTGAGGCGATGTTACAACAGAACGTCCGACGATTCTAACCACACCCGAGTATATCCTGTCAAGCTAAGAACGCCTTTAATATAGCCTTAAAAATTCTCGGAACGAGAGTACAGTACACTACACATCTATGAGTCATGGCTGTTTTGGAATAAATGCTGGAATGGCATTGTGTTATGATAAGAAGAATAAAGTGTTTGCCGTAATGTTATCGTCAACAATAAATTCTTGTTTTCTTTACACTGTCGAATGCTTTTGTATTTTCAAAGAGAATTCCGTGTATTCGGACAAAACTAAATGGTGAATTGAAGTGTATTACTATATCATTGTATATAACCAAGACCAAACAAACAATGGTTATAGAGGCTTTTTATTTACGTCATAATAATTATCATATGAATCTCTGCGGGTAGAATCAAGTACCAGCATGTTGGCATGTTTAACAGACATTCACTGAAATCGAACGTGGCGCATGTAAAAAGCCTGTATAATGCCATACCATCTGATCAGTTAGAATTCTGGGATAGGGTTAGGCAAATGACTTAAACCAATGATCACAAGTTAGGCATGCAAAACGTGGTCAGAAACACGCGTGAAACATTTTACAAGCACATGCATCTGACTTAAACTTTGCCTGTAGATCAAGCATAAAGATTTTCACCTGATACGACAAAATCATTGCGAAGTGATAAGTCATACAAATCCTTTACACCTTTGTCATAAAGCAAGAGGAGAATCCAGCAGGCTACTTATACCACCATTCCATTTAGACGGGACTCTCTCGGGACGGGACCGCCGACGCGGATAGAGTGCCAAGGTCGCCGAGAGAGAGAGAGAGAGAGATGAGAGCGCCATGAGCGTCATGAGCGCCGTCATCTCGGTTCATACCATAGATAGAAAACATGGCGACATCCGCGCTCTAATGGCCGCGCTCCGACCAATCTCAACCACCAATCCGATCAACTAAGGGGCCGTGAGAGCGCCGCCTTAGTGGAATAGGCACCTTACTTCATTGATTTTATAGTTGGAATATAATGCAGGATGACGTCAAACACAGTCAAACAAACAGAACCTATTAAAATTTGTTATCTATTTCAGAATCTGCAAAATCTTTGGACGCCCATAAATGTTGCTGATTTTTTAAATTTTCGGCTGTGCAGAGAACGCAGAAATGGTGCCGGAGAGTTTCCACTTAAGCACGTTTTTCGTGGAATTCGTCGCCGTGAGAGCGCCACTAAGTGGAATAAAGGCCTTAACGATACAAATAACTTGCTGCAATGATTGTTAACCGACAACGCGTAACATTGAAAGCAGGCCTGCTACTTTTAACGGTGAATGAAAAGAACGCGCTACGCCTGACATAAAGGCATGTAGTCACTCAGCCAATACTACTCTTCAACTGTACGGTCTCCGAGATACCATAGGGCGTTACGCGTGCAGCTTTGACAAAAGCAAGTCACAGACATTCCTTTAATACGCCGACTGAACCGTTTTATAACATGGTCACAAGATGAAGAATATGTGAAATGAAATGCATTTTTGCCATTGCCATCCATTAACCGTGTAAGTCAGTTTCTCGGAAAGCACGGTGTTGATTAAACTCCAAGCAGATATATGGGCCTTGCTAGTTTTAGCGTGTTTTTATCATTCTGCACCTTTCATTAATTCATTTAGTAGCATAAGTTGGCTTTTCAAACTCTTAGCCGGTTTCTTGCCTTAGGCAAGGACAAACTACTAGAGATAGACGTAAAAAGTACAAAATGTGACGAAATGCCCCGATCGATTTGTAGGCTTAAAATTTAAGAGTTGAGCTCACGCTATTAAACAAAAATAGCGTTAAATACAATGGTTATACATGTATCAATAGAACAAAATGGCGTGGCTGAATATATTATTGTTCTGTCTGCTTGCGGACACAAATGAACTCATAAAACGTGAGCTCTGGAAAATATGTTAGCTTCTTCAAAAACGTGGTTCGGCCGACTGAAGCACAGAAACGCAAGCCTCTATCAGGCTTCGGCAGGCGGCTAGAAACAGTAGAAATTGGCCGAAAAGAGAGATAGCATGCCTGGGCAGTTTGAGGCAAACTGTTATCTCCAGCAGACCAACTCCCATGCTACTCGTATTTGGCCGATTTCTACTCTTTTCAACCGCCTCCCGAAGCCTGGTAGAGGCTACAAACCCCCTGCATGTACATGTAGCTAGCGCTTTTCTATATTAAACTATTAATACCTGTTAAAGTATTAATACCTTTAGTTATTATTACTTTTTATTCTACAGGTATGACAGTGCACAAATTTCTTATCCTTTTATTACGGGTAAGGTTGAAGTAGTGAGGCAACTCTTTGGTTGAAGTATTTCACGTTGCTATTAGCCGTTTTACCAACAGGTCCTATATTCTCTCCGCAAATTTGCGGGGAGGATGTAGGGATGAGATAAGACAAGATATCTCAAGAAAATGTCAAAGCAGGACACGTTCAAACACTTTATGTCATCCAAGAACAAATGTATAGAAGACAAAGTATGAAATTATGTTTCTAGGTGTTTCAAAAGAGAGAAAAAAGGACAACTAACAGTAGATGTTAGGTAGTGTATAGTATTGTTGTAATATACAGACTCCTAGCTAGCATTAGAATACATGTGCGTCGTTCCAGTATGCAATACTCATGTTTTTATCCAGTTGACCACATCAGTGATCACCTGTGTGCATTTAGCCCATAAAATGCAATAAAAATAGATGACAGTTATATCTAACAGCGTAGGCATTACAACAACCAGGGATTTGGTCTGATTTATCCATCGGTAAAATGATTTTAAGAGTCTACACAAATGGTAAAAATACAGGCCAGAAGCCTAACTGCATGTACAACATCAAAGAAAAGTAATGTACATGTCATAGAGAACATACAACTGTCAGACCAATGCCTCCGGCACATTTAGTTTGTATACAGATTGATTTTCTAAAATCTGGTTTACGATGATGAAGGATAGATATCCAGGTAAAAAAATGCTGATAAGAAATCTATAGTAGTACTAGTGGAGTTTGAATTTTCTATGATTATGATTTGTTTTATTGGCGTATTTGATATTTACTTTCTGTATTTTTATGTTCAAAATAAAGATTAGTAATCAATAAACAATAAAACGAGCCCAGTTGAGAGAAGGTCAAAGCGTGAATCCTGTATACTGTCAGGCATAGCATCAGAAAATACCTCTCGTATGTTAAAATTAACAAAAAAATCCAAAAACATATACATCATCATCATCATCATCATCCATCCTCCATAGAGGTCATCATCATCATCATCATCTTAAGTACTGCTGAGCCCAATATTGACATTGGATTACTAGCAGCTGCACATGTTGTTATTTACAAAACAAGTGACCGGTACAAGTAGAAACAAGGGCAACTAAAGGAGGGGACACTACGGAACGTAAATAACTGAGTCTGTAGGTGTAAAGGACAAGACAGTGCATTTAGTGTGTTAGTAGGACATACATATATACATATATACAAGACGTGTAGGGGCGACTCAATGCAGCAGGGTCCTCGCCAGTCCAGATTTGAACTGGGCGAGGGACCCCGCCTCCGCCACACCAGGCTCAAGTTCGTTCCACTCTTTGATGGTACGAGGGAAGAACGAGAGCCTGTAAAAGTTGTTCCTACTCGCGATGGTCTGCAGCTTGAGAGCGTGGTTGGTGCGGCGGGAGCATCGAGTCGCCGGGACAACGGTGGAGGTGGAGCATACAAAGTTAGTTCGCCACAACTGTCTGTCATACATCACTGTCATGTCCCTCCAAGCCAGTTTCAGTTTCAATAAGTTTCTTAACTGTTATGTTTGGGCGTCCAACTCTTCTCTTACAGGTATCAGGGTTCCAGAGTAGAAGCCTACTGGCTGGTTCTTCACTACGTATTACATGACCGGCCAAGCTTAGTCGTCGACATTTGACTACTGAAGTTACATTTGGTAGCGAACCGTATAACTGTTCATTAGTAGTGTGTTTCCACCATGGTGTATTGGAAACCACTCGCAACATCTTCGTGTATGTTCCGTTTAGTTTTCTAGAATGTGACATATACAGATACTATAATTACAATCCTTTAATAAATTTGTGGACTCGGAGATGATGAAATAAACTTTCCTAATTTTAAAAAGCGAATTCGCAAAGGGGTGGGGCGAGATTGAGGGACAAAATCACTAGTGAATTACGGGGGCAGGCAAGATCCCTGGGACACCTGCCAGTCACTAAACTCCGCGTCAGTAGGGCTGAGCCGTTGTTACAGAACGTGTTTTTATCACGCCCATTTGATATTCTCAAGAGTTATGTCAAGCGAAGATTCGCCGAAAGAGGCTACGGTCACTGTTTGTTAGACTACACGTGTTATTATTTTACCAGGCTTTGTTTATGAGAATGTTTAAAAGGAAATTATTTAAACGTTTGTATCGTTGTTTTTTTTCTTATTGTTGCCAGCACATACCCCGATGTACTTCACACAGTCCATCGCTTCTTTGGATTTGAACAAAAATGCACGGTGAATTTCAGTCATGTCTCAAGTATTGAAGTTTTGACATTGTCCTTGCCGTGGATCATTCTCCACCAGTATACTCTCTTCGACAAAGGGCGTAGTACCTTTAATTGCTTTTAATTGTTCTTGATATATCACGTACTTTACATGTAGATAATGTGAGCTGTCTGCATTAGGTTGGAATTACCTGGCAAATCGGCAAATGCACCTTCTTCAAATTGTTTTCAAATCAATACACCAACAAGTACCGGAATACTTACAAACGTTCATTAGAATATATCACGTCTATCAAACCAGGAACAATACAAGTTGTCTTTAAAACTTCCTTAGGCCACAGCAAATAATTTTTAAGGATAACATCAGCGCGCACATTAATTTTCGCCTGATTTCGAAAAAAAAGAAGAAATTTTGTCGCCCTCTGACAGTGGTCAGCATGCCGAAAATGGGCAAAGATGTCTGTTGCCATGCAAGGTGAATGGCAGATAACTATGAAGAGAGGAGACAAGAAAAGGCTCTGAGTAATGTTTTGTTTCCTACTCTGATGCAGTGATATGTGATGATGGCTGTGTATATGTGATGTTCCCACCGAACCAACATCATTTGTACAATGATTTAGTCAATTTATAAAAATGTAGGAACTTTGTTTTTTCGTCCCGCTTTTTTTTTCGTTCGCTCGCATTAGATTTGGAGTCTGTGGACGATGTCACCCATAAAATTTCCGTGCTGTGCCCTTACGTCCAATTAGAATTCGGCTGGAGAACGTTTGTATATAGGGGAGCATTTGCCTGGAATGACCTGCCGCACTTAGAGTGGCTACTTCTGGTCTATCTTTTAACCCTCAAACACCCGAACGGGGTCCATTTGGACCCCAGGCGTATATTTTTATGTGCTATTTGAAAATTATTGATTAAAAAAATTCATCCCGTGACTTTGTCAATAAAATTCTTCTTCAAGTTCTTTTTTTTTTTTGGAAATCGGTACAAATTTGTAAGAAAAATAACAGAAAGTCTGATGTAAGATCGTCTGGGGTCCTAGCCATATTTGCACTTTCCTACAAACGATTGCATAAATTATGATAATGAACTGATTTTTTTACACTTAATCATCCTAAAATATACCTCTTACTAAGTTTAGCCAATATATGTGCAAAGATCACTGAAAGAATGCAATAAAGGATAATAAATTTTAAACAAACCAAATGGGGTCCATTTGGACCCCGGTGGTCATTTCTGTTTTAAAACAAAATTACGGTGTTTGAGGGTTAAGAAGACTTCTGAAGCAACACTTCTGACCTCGTGACCTTGGCCTGGGTTATCGACTTCGATTGATTGTACACGATTCTGTTTTGATGCTTGTTTTTTTTTTTATCGCTCAGTGCAAGGCCAATTATATTTGGCCACTTCTAGGCATAGAGCTAGAGGTACTTAAGGGAGTATATTGTAGCTATGTCAGGAGATGGCGGTGGACCTTTGTTTTGAAGCTTTGTGGATTGTAATCGGACGGAAAGCAGCTGTTTGGAAGAGAGTTCCATAATTTTGCAGTCCGGGGAAAGAAGCTGTTGTTGTAAAATGACTTGGAGACAGGTATGTTGACGGTGTATTGATGAGAACTGGAAGAGAACCTAGTGGCACGCTGAAAGGTTCTGAGTGGCTATATATTTATTGTTATTATGTGCAGATTTCCGTTGTACTGTGTTACAGGGCTGAATAAAAATTCCGTGGGCTTGAATGACTGACATGTATGTGGTGACGTAGCCTCTACCAGGCTTGGGGAGGCGGCTGGAAAGAGTAGAAATCGGCCAAATAGAAATAGAGAAATAAGCATGTCAAGAAAGTTTGTCCGTTGAGAGAACAATTCGCCGTAAGGGTATTTGGCCGATTTCTACTCTTTCCAGCCGCCTCCCCAAGCCTCGTAGAGGCTAGTGGTGACGGACAACGCACGTTCCGCAAATGAATCACTACCCGTAATCCATAGGGATATGGTCATACTGTTTGGTGTTTATAATACAGATTTAATACTTTTTTATTCGAAGTGTTATCTAAGCAAAATTTGAATTTAATGTATCACTCTTGTGAAGCCAATCTTCTTTTTTTTTAACCCAGGAACGCATACAATTGATAAATGTTATGTCGGATGTTATGCCATTTATCCCATCTAAGTTTTTCTTTTAACTTTTTGTTTTAAGTGTAAGTAGTGCTGAAAATGTATAATTTTTTTTCCAAATCACTCTGTATGGTTCGCATATGTCACAAAGTCTAGTATATGCTAGGGGATTCCTTTTTCAATGGTTTTCATATATTACAGAACAGAGAAACTTGACCTTTGCTATCGGCTCCCTCTTCTGTTTCTCTGTGGAAATATTCACAGGCAGAACGACCACAGTATGGTGTCGTTTTTTATTTAGGGTTGGAGTTGCACAGTGCACCGGGTGGCGGCCATGTCTCTTAATTTAATTCCATATAACCACGACACAGCGTATAATTACAGGCATTCAGAGGCTCCAGTTAATAGCAGTCTGCGTTGCAAGGTGTGTCGGTAGATCTTAGAAATTGTCCCTTAGGAATTCATGTATATCTTAATCAAATAGCATAATAACATATTTTTTATGATAATAGATTTTTTTGTTGTTCAACACGCATTAGATATCATGGTTGAAAACAGATAAAAGAAAATTCTGAAGGAATAACAAAACAAATACATTTGTTTTCCATCATCGGCAAATCATTGATTCAGAATGAATCCATAACAAAATGTAAATCCGGTAACTTCTTTGATGCAATGACTAAAGCATTGATGGTTACGAAAGATACATGCTAATTGCAATTATGTGTTGTGGTTAAAGTTTTACAGCTGATGTAGTTTCACAGGAATGGAAGTTATGGCTAATCCTTCTGACATGCTTGCCTCTGCAGTTTCTTGCACTGAATGAAAAGTGGGATTTACCAAATTAAATGACAATGTATGCCACCTAAGTTTGATCATAGTCGCTTTAAGTAATACTTGTCGAAAGAAAAGCTTTCTCGTGTGAATTAATCATTAATTGTAGTGTGAGTCCTGAATATCTAAGTCAGAAGCAACTTTTACTAGACTTACCTAGCGTTTGTCGTAATTAAGATTAAAACCCTTGTCCTGCTGGCACTTTTCAATAATTTCAAGTCTAAATCAGGCCAAAGACACATGTCTTTTTTTGCCCTGTGTGGCGTAGTTACTTCAGCATTCGTTGCGTTTTGCTGCCTTGTGATGGGTTGTACAAGGAATATCCCCAAATTTTAGATATACAAGGCGTCATATGGATGGTACTGGATGTGGAATACTAGTATACATATATATAGGCCCTGCAGGACAAGGTTAATCAAACGTAATTCCCACTTTTCGTATAGTGTTATCTTCTCAACATGTGAGGGTTACAAGCCTCTCCATGGAGCCAAGTTGGTCTCATGTTTAGAGCCTATCTTCAAACATGATATCCAGGAATTCGCCCATGGTCATCTCCTTGTCTTTGTCCCCGGCCCAGTGGTTCAGCATGTCCATGGCCTTCCCCCCGCCATACTTGTCGGCATGGGTGGTGTAAAAGGTAGCGGCCTTCTTTCGCATCTCCTCAAATGACATCTTGAGATCTCCATCCTGAAAAATAGGAAGGTCATACCTTGCTGTTCTTGTCTCTTTCGACTTTTTTAATGGTTTTTATGATTCGTGCTTTGCTTGTCTGGTGGCGACATGAATATATTACAATAAGTGTTACTTGAGTATGACTTCACCACGCCTTGTCACTATATGTTTTAGTGACATGTTTTATGTTTTAGAGACTATATATATTTTAATACTGACAGGACTGATAAAGATATTACAAATAAGATTGGACTCTAGCAAAAATGTGTGTACATGTTGTAATATTAGAATATTATAAGCTGTTACAAAAATCATTAGTGTGGTGTTATCATTAGAATGGGCTATACTTAGCGACAGTGAACTAGGCTATACTTAGCGACAGCAAGAAGCACTATCACATGAATTATACTAAATAGTCAGAGACATATATCATTAGCAAATTAGCAACCGTTGCACAAATGCCTTCTTGAACCATTAAACAACACCATATGTGCATATCGTTATATCTTGTACCAGATAATTAACGATTATAATTTTTAGATAGAAGGAGACATCTTAGCAAAGAAGCAACCCGTTACGTTAGTACCTTGTTGACTGAAAATATATAAATGGAGATCACTTCATATCTTATTGCAGATACCATGCCAACTAAAGCATGCCTGTCTTGTATACATAAATATGACTGCAAATCAACATGCATTTGTACTATGACAAAATTTCAAATTGTGAAATTCTTAAGGGTTTTTACAAAAACTAACCTCGTCATTTTCGTCAAAGATGCTCAGGAGATCTTCAATCTCTTGAATGACCTTCCCGATGTTGGCTGCTTCCTCCTTTGTCAGCTTCCCGTCGTTATTGGCGTCACACTTATTTTTCACTCGCTAAAAATGACCAAATATCAGTTAAAGGTTCAACACTTGAGGCGTTGCCAAAATTCTACCAATCTTTTACACTTTCATTCTATAATAATGATACGCATGCGCGCTGAAATGTAATAAGACGGAATCTATCCTTCTTTGTTTCTTTCTTTCTTTGGTAGTTTGGTAACTCTGCAGGCCATGCAATACCTGTTTACTTCTTTCCGGTTTGTGGTATATGCAATAGACTTGCTGCCATTTTAATCCATGTTCTTTACAAAAAGAAACTTCATGTAGTAACAGTCTCATCTAGTGACATGCCATTGATCGAAGTACGATTACATATGTTTTTAGGCGCTAATTTATTGATCGTACTACAAACCTAAAGATGATTGCATAAATTATGTTAATGACGAAAATAATGCCGCCTGTCGCTAGATTTCGTTGTTGCATGTCCTGGCGAAGTTTCTCTATTATGTTTGCACTTTTATGTTTGCCTGTTGCATTGTTCTTACTCAGGAATGTCAATACGTTTGATACTTACTCTTTTTAAAGACGGGCTTTCATGTTTCAATCATAATTCGCTCGGACCTGCCCAATTTTCTCGGATCGCTATATATAGTATGTTGTTTTGGGCTGAAAGACAATGACGTAATGAGATAGCTCAACGAGTAGAGTTGCTAGACGCGTGGTGGTGCACGTGGCGGGGTCTGGACATTGAGAGTTCGATCCCCGGAGAGGAACTTTTTATTTTTTATTTTTATTTTTTTTTCTAATTTTTTTTTAATTTTTTTTTTTAATTTGCTTTTTTTTTTAATTT